GGGCGCGGTAGGCATCGGGGGCCTCATGCTCTCCAGGAAGCCTGTGGGCAGACCTGGTGGGGGCGGGTTGTGCTAGTCCCAAGCCGCCTCATGGGTCTGTGGGGTGGGTTTCCCCTGCAGGAGTACGCCCAGTCTCGGTTCCAGTTCTACTTCCAGCAGAAGGGACAGCTGAGCAGCCTCCACCCCTCATCCTGAGTCTTCACAGCCCCCAACTGTGTGGATTTCTCCTGAAGCCTCCTGGGCAGGACCTTGGAGGGAGGAGCAAAGAGCGGGGGACTCTGGGAACTGGGCTGAGCCCTGGAGTGAGATGGGTTGAGGAGGCTGACCTCTCCTCACAGCCCAGAGATGGTGGGAGGGAACCCCTCGGCTGTGCACCTTAAGACAATAAACAGGCCTCTTCCTTCGCACCCTGTCCTAGCTCTGCAGCAGAAAGTACCAACCAAGGAATGCACACAGGGTGACAAAGTCACCAGGGCTCCGAACCTCATTTTCCCCTTCTGAAAAGCACGGCTATTTGGTGCTCTGGGCTTGAGAGTAGTTAAGGGACCACTGCCCATTGGAGCCCCCGGCCCTCCCTCTCCCTGGCTGCAGCTTAGAAGTGATGCACATGAGAGGGACTGGGGTGGGGGTCTGGGGAGTAATGGGGGTACAAAGAGGGCCCTGGGGTGGGGCTGCCCAACCCTGAGCACTGGAGATCAGGGCACAGGCAGCAGAGCTGACACATGGATGACCTTTTCCCTACATTCAGCTATTTTTAGCTCTAATGCTACCATCCTCACGTGAGACCCTTTAGCCCCCGCCCCCCCAAGGTTCCCAGACCTCTGAGCAATCTCAGCTTGCAGAAAGCGAGACCGCCCCCACTCCTGATTGCCACCACAGAGGGAAGGGGATTCTGGTTGCCGCCCCACATCTGTTTTCCCAACCCAAATTTGGGAGTGGGTGTCAGGTTCCCGGCGAGGGCGGGGCGGGGATGGCCAAGCCTGAAGGACGTGGGGACACGGGCCAGAGCGACTGGCCCCATACGCCGACAGGAGCGAACCCAACCTGTGAGTGGAGTCGGGGGTCAATACGGGGCCACCGGTCCGGCTCACAGAGGACGGCGCCGGGGTCCCTCACAGTCGGGAGGCTGGGAATGCCCAGACCCAGCCTTGCTCCAGACCGATTCTGCGTCCCGCCCCCACCCCGAGGCAGCCATTCACTGTCCTGGGGCTCCTGCAGATCTCACTGCTCGACCCCTGCACCACTGCGGCGGAGCCTGCCCAGAACGCGGGCGCGAGGGTTTGGCGGCCGTTGGTCAGGCTGCGGGGCCCAGCCCGAAGCGGGAGGGCGCGCTAGCGCTGCGCGGGCGGGGGGTGCGGCGGCCGGGGGAGGGGGCCGGGGGTGGGGGGCCTCCGCGAAGAGGGCGGCCGGGGCGGGGTCAGCCTGAGCCCGCCCGCGCACCCTCCTGCCCCCTCCCAGGTGACGGCCAACTTCCAGGATGGCGGAAGCGCACCAGGCTGTGGCCTTCCAGTTCACGGTGACCCCAGAGGGGGTCGACTTCCGGCTCAGTCGGGAGGCCCTAAAACACATCTACCTGTCTGGGATCAACTCCTGGAAGAAACGCCTGATTCGCATCAAGGTGGGCGCAGGTGGTTCTGGCTTCTTCCAGCAGGTACAGAATAGAGTCTTCCCGGAGGCAGAGGCCAGATGTCAGCGGCTGCCCCATTGTTCAGATCCTCCACTCCCACCCGGGCTGGCAGTGCTGCCGGGTGACAGGCTCTAGCAGTGCAGAAGCCGGAGGGGTGCTCAAGGTGTGGTGGGGGAGATGGGTGTACACGGAGTAGTGGAGGGACACAGTGAATAATACATGCTGCAGGTGGGGGAGTGTGGAGGAGGGGAAGACCAGACACGTAGGGGGAACAAGAACACAGCAGATGAGGGAGGGAGAAAGCCTCCCAGGCAAAGATCAGGACCCCACAGGTGCCTGCTCACCGCCGTCATTCCCGCTGTGCCTGTTTCTGCCCCGCAGAATGGGATCCTTAGGGGTGTGTACCCTGGCAGCCCCACCAGCTGGCTGGTCGTCGTCATGGCAACCATGGGTTCTTCCTACTGCAAAGTGGACATCTCCATGGGGCTCATCTGCTGTATCCAGAGATGCCTCCCTGAGGGGTGAGAAGCCGGGCTACGAGATAGGGCTGGGCAGGCTCCAAGGCCAGGGTTCCTGAGCTGGGCAGGTGCAAGATAATAGCCTTTGGAGGTCCTAGGGGCAGCCCTCCCTGGGGGCCACCATCACCAGAATCCCACATTCATAAGTTTGTATGTTATGCATTTAGACACAAGTGTGCCCAAGAATGTTCTTCTTCAGCACCTCCCCCAGGATGGTTCTCAACCATCAAAACTGCAGAGTCAGAATTTCCCCAAGGCCGGCCTCAGCTGGGGCCCCTGCAGCCCTCTCCCTTTTCTGACAGATGTGGCCCCTACCGGACCCCACAGACCCGGGCACTTCTCAGCATGGCTATCTTCTCCACGGGGGTCTGGATGATGGGCATCTTCCTCTTCCGCCAAACCCTGAAACTGCTTCTTTCCTACCACGGCTGGATGTTTGAGATGCACGGCCAGACCAGCCACTTCACTAAAGTCTGGGCTGTGAGCAGAAGCCAGCGGAGGGGTTCACGCATCTGGTTTGAGACCCTGGGGGCCTCATTTGGGGTTCTGACCTGGAGGGGAGAGGCAGGGAGGGCACGGGTGCCTGGTGCATCAGTTTGTCTCGGTTCCGAAGGTCTGGGCACCAAGTCCCCAAGTGTTGGCTAGTTTGTTTCCATTATTTCCCCTGGTTCTCACCAGAAACATTCTCTGCCCTGTACACCCAGGTCTGTGTCCGCCTTCTGTCCAGCCGGCGGCCCATGCTCTACAGCTTCCAGACGTCCCTCCCCAAGCTTCCTGTGCCCAGTGTGCCAGCCACAGTTCAGCGGGTAAGGGCCTGAGTCAGACATCCCAATGTGCAGGCTAGGCTGGACCCAGAGGACTCCTCCAAAATAAGGGACTGTCCTCTGCAAGGAGCCATCTAGAGCAATGGGGCTGGGTTGGAAGAGGGTCAGGACAGAGGCAGTTGTTGCTATTTGGCCCCCACGCTGACAATAACTTGGCTGGACAGTACCTGGAGTCTGTGCGGCCCTTGTTGGATGATGAGGAATATTATCGAATGGAGACACTGGCCAAGGAATTCCAGGACAAGACTGCCCCCAGGCTGCAGAAGTACCTGGTCCTCAAGTCATGGTGGGCAACTAACTATGTGAGTCCCCTCCTGGGCTTACCTTCACCTCTGCCTGTGTCAGGGGGAATCTGTCCCCTGCCCTCTGCCCCAGCCCTCACTGCTCCCTCCCTCCTGCAGGTGAGTGACTGGTGGGAAGAATACGTGTATCTGCGCAGCAGGGCCCCCCTCGTGGTGAACAGCAACTACTATGTCATGGTGCGAGAGGACCCGGGAACAGGGGAGATGGGGGAGGTCCTGGAGGAGCAGGCAGGAAGCAGCTTCAGGCCGCAGAGATACTGAGGATCTAGGGAATTCAGTAGCCACACAGCCTGACACCGTCAGTCTCAGAGTCCCCAGGTTCTGTCACTTCCTGCCTTGGCTCTCTTGCTGGCCTCCCAGCCATGTGTTCCCAGCTTTCCTAACACCATCCCCAGGGAATTCCCTTCATCATGCCCCCCTTTCGTGTCACTGTGGACCCAGAGCTGCTTCTCTGAGAGCTCAGGAGGTCACTGCTGGCCCCTAACCCTCCCATGACCAGCCTTCCCGCTCCTGGCACATGCTTGTGTGCAGCCACCAGGGTCCCCCCACTGCCCAGCCACAGGTCCACACAGCGGCCTCTCTCCTCTCCCACTGTCCAAAACACACTGTGAATCCTTTGCTGAATTCCCCTCCTCCACAAGGCGGTCCTTCCCACAGCTTATATACAGTTTGTCCACATCGGAGGTTTTAAACTGTTTTTTAGTGGTGGGAACCTCTTTCTCAATACAAAATAAACAAAATACGAACAAAAATAGATTATGGAAAAGCAGTTCAAAAGATTCAGGCTGGGCGGAGGGGTTATGCGATCAGTTATGCATTTCATCTCTGGCAGTACACCCTGACCGAAGGTGCAGGCTGGACTGGGGAAAGGCAGGTCCTTAGGCAGGGAGACCCAGGTGAGCTGTGCACATCTGTCCCACCGCCTGCAAGCTCTGTCCTCTCTCTGTAGGACTTCGTGCTCATCAAGAACACAGACATACAGGCAGCCCGCCTGGGAAACATCGTCCACGCTATGATCATGTATCGCCGTAAACTGGACCGTGAAGAGATCAAGCCTGTGAGTTGTGTTGGGTTGAGGGCACAACAGGGAAAGGGAGCCCGAGTCTGAGACATGCTGGGCCTTTTTCCCAGGTCATGGCACTGGGCATCGTGCCCATGTGCTCCTACCAGATGGAGAGGATGTTCAACACCACCCGGATCCCAGGCAAGGAGACAGGTACAGGCCACAGCCGGGTGCCCGTGGTAGGTCCATCCAGACGGAGTCCACTCCTGCCCCAGCTCT